TTGTACCGTATGGTTACGCCGACAAGTTTTTCTTTTCGTCCTCATCATCGATCTTACACATTGAAATGTAAGTGTTTCTCTTGCGTTTGTGATCGTTTGCTACAAGTAGAAGTTATCAGGCGGCTTGTTCGTCCCAGTATCGAACTGTAAAAGATGTTGACGTGTCCTGAAATGTTGGGATTTTAAAGTGACTTCCTTGTCATGTCAAAGCCGGTCGGATGGGGGTGGGGTTGGATTAGATTTGTGACAGTCCAAAGGGCAACTAAAAACTTGCTTTCTCATAGCTATTAAAAACTTGACCATAGAAATGCATTTACATTATAAATGTAGGCAACCTGTTGAATTTCAGCTTCATTCTGGGGTAGATCTTGCAAGTACAAAATAATTTTCAAAAGCAGCTGTTTTTGTTTAACCTTGCGTAAAGGAAATACGATACGGTTTTGGGTAAACAATCATACACAATGATTGTAAAGTGAGATTTTCTACGGTGTTAGAAATATGACGTTCTGGCATTAATTTCTTAGAACTGAAGTAACAGTAACAAGTTGTTAGGCTATGTTGTTTAGGTAAGGTGTCATAAATTCTACTCTACCCATAATGTGTGTAATTTTGTACAATTGAATTATTGATATTTCTACAGGCGAAAATCAGTATTTGTATTAATACTGTAAATATTCTCTAGACAGTCCTATCTCCCAAGGCACTACCACTGACGTATGTTTTCACGCAACCATTAGTCAAAGACTGTTTGTCACATTATTTTGTATAATAAAGACTCCTTGAAATGTGATGATTAAGTAGCATTTAACAAAACAAAAGATCTTCCTTTTCACACATCAGGTCTTCAGGGATCCATCATATGATGTGTACCCGACGCTGATTGAGTCGTTAGCGCCACCTGGAGGATTGCGGCAGAAAGACATCAGAGGACCCTGGTCAGAGATAGATGTTGTATAGCGTGACAACAGTATAGACCATCGCCATGGCAGACAAGCTCCAGGCAGAGATCACACAGGCAGAGGACACATGGCAGAAGAACAAGAGATACACAGTATGTAACAATAAAATAAATATAATTATAAATAAAGATTATAAGACATCTAGATTAAGGATTCTGGAGCTGACTGCATGTTTTAAAAGGATAATCCATAACCTTCACCCAGCATCACTGATAATCATATACAAATTAAATTATTTTAAAAGACAATAGATTGTTGACTCTCATGGTTGCAGAATTGACAACTTTTGTAGTTGTGAAGTAATGCAAATATTTTCAGTTACAAAAAAGAGAAGATAATGATTTCTTGCTTGTAGACCATGTTGGAAAAAGAACCAGTTCAACAGAAAGTGAGCAAAAATAGGTGTACCAAAAGGGTACTGATTTGTGTTGTACCCTGAGTGATTGTTTAGTGTCAATGTTTTGTGATTTTAATATATACATTTCCCAAAACTTTTCTTCAGGTGTACAAAGTTGTGGTGACTGTTGGTGGGAAAAGCTGGTTCATCTTCAGAAGGTACACAGAGTTCGAGAAATTACACCAAATGGTAAGGGGGCTATTATTGTCTTACAAGTTACATACATACAGTAAATTGCTTTTTTTTCTCATCACACCCACAAACCAAAGTCCTGTCTCCCATAATACTGTGCTACAACTATATTGTTACTGTTATTGTTATCAGTCTTTGCTTCAAAAATACTGGAAACTTTTGATTTTCACTGTGCCACAGAATTTAAATGCCACAACTATAAATGAATTTACAGTACATTTTGTGCTTTCTATACATTATTGATCTACTACCACACAAACATGTGTGCTGTATTGTAAATATGTGTTTCCATACAAGATTGTTATCTTGGTTTATACCAGAGGCCCACGCTATGCAAAGATCAAAGGAAGTAAAAATAGATACCATGTCTTGGCATCGTAATATTTCTGTTAATTTGCATAAATGATGGCATTATATTACTGGCAGTAGTAAAAGTAATGTATGTACATGTACCTTTTAACAGTGACAGGACTTACATTGGGAATCCCATGTTTGCATGCGAAAGAATTGTAGTCTGTACAATCTATTCTATAATTACTTTTTTACCTCACAGTTAAAGAAGAACTTTCCTGATGTGTCATTCAAACTTCCGGGCAAGAAACTTTTTGGAAACAACTTTGATCCCAGTAAGTTTAATTCCTGTTTTTAGCAAAGAAGCCACAGATGACATTTGTATTATTATTCTATTTGATCTTAACTCTTCTATCGTAAGCTTCATGCAATGTTGTATTTGGTAAAATCTAGCCCATTAGAAATCTTGTTCCTCTCCTCTTGTTAATGTCTATGCATGATGCTGTTCATATAAGCATTGCCTCTACAATGATGTAGTCAGATTGTTTTAACAGTTGTATTGTAAACATCTTTTCTGTCAGATTTTATCAAACACAGAAGAGAGGGTCTACATGACTTTGTTCAGCAGCTGTGTGCTCAACCCAGAGTCCTTCAGCAGTAAGTAACATTCACAACTGACAAATGTATTGTGAACCTCTGGATGTGTGTCATATATACAAACATAACCTCAGTAGGTACTGGTACAAGGTACAGAGGTTCAGACACAGACCTTTAACTTTACCAGAACAGCTTTAATAAAGTGAACTTTGGTCTTCAATGATGACAGACACTGTAAACAGAATTAATTTATCTTTACTTTTGGCATCTCATGCACACAGCCTAAGAGAATCTTGAATAAAAGATGGCACTGATTTCAATGCTTTGTGTAAGTGAGTGAATGAATGAGTGAGTGAGTGAGCGACTGAGTAATTGACTGAGTGACTGACTGACTGATTTCAATGCTCATACAATGTTTTGCCTTTTTCCTTTCAAGTGCTAAATGTTCATGCTCTTTGCAGTAGGATTTGCACGTTTTTAGTCTCAAAAGAAATATGTAATTATTATTTGAGTAGGATTACTAAATTAATACATTTTTCCTTCTTTTCTAACAAAACTTCAGTGCGGAAGTACGAACGTTTCTACAGCTGGACAACCCGAGAAACAAGAATGGTTCTGGAGGGGACGAGGAAGCGTTAGAGAACAACGACGTTAACGGAGAGGTAAACGTTACATGATTGACATGTTATTCTTACAAGTCAGTACTTTAAACTTGACCTTTGATCATATATAGTACTTGAAGTTACTTCTGTATTAAGTGTTGACCATGGTATGTAAACAACATGCATGCATTTTAAACAATGCACTGTTTTTATGTAGAAAAGATTGCATTGCTGTAGTTGAACTGTTGTCCATTTTCTAGTGATTACACTTAATAAATGTATATTTTTGATTATACTCTTCTTTTTTTCAGTAAGATTAACTTAAATGTTCTACTGGGTAGATAGTATGTGACAAATGTTTTCTTTTTAATAGTATATTATGACATGTAACAATGTAACATTCGTGTCACAACTTATAAACAGTAATCAACTGATTATCCCTTTAGAAATGTTTTTGTTTCTTTACGGTAATGCTTTTTGTTGTCTTATTGTAGGACTCTGCTGACTACAATCTTGGTCCTACTCACAATCCAAAGTAAGAGCTCCATACATGTACATGTCTCACCCCAGCATGTAACTCTGCTCACATTATTCCAATATGCCTCCCAAACTTAACGCCTAACTAAGGATTACATTGAAGTTGACATATCAGTTAACACCATTGATTACAGAGTGGCAGTAGTACTTGGTATTTGATTTAGTTCTTGTGCATGGAGCATATGAAATATATGACCCCTTAAAAGATCAAAATGTTATCTTTCACCTTCAATAGCTTAGGAATAGATACTGATGTCTCAACCTACAGTATCTAAGAACTGACCAGTATCCCAAGCTTTATATAGTTTATTTGTATCATTATGTCCATGTTTCCAAATTGAAAAATTGCTATGTTTTATAGTGTTTGAATTCTTACCAATGTCCATTTCCTACCTTACAGTGCAAGACCATCTGATTTTGACTTTCTTAAAGTTATTGGAAAGGGTAGTTTTGGAAAGGTAAGTGGATAAACTTACAAAGAGTGACTCTAGAGAACTGCATGTCATTTTATATCCCACATGAATTACCAGTGTAAGTAACACTGAATACAAGCTTATGTCAATCAAAATTTGCTGAACATTTAAATAATGATTTATGAAAACTGCACACCTACCCCCTTTCTCCAGGTTTTGCTGGCCAGACACAAGACAGACAGTAACTTCTATGCTGTTAAAGTACTGCAGAAGAAAGTCATCATGAAGAGAAACGAGGCAAGTTCAAATTATATATGTGGTATTTTTAGTGCTATTTTTTTGCCATGTACAATTTACAGATTTTGTTCCTTATGGTGACAAAATAGTTTGATTGACATTCATAGTTGCATTGCTTGTTTGTAGTTATACATGTGAAGATCATATGAACAAATTTCATTTGACAGGGTATATCAATTTTTACATATCAGGTGTAACAGACCGAAATACACCGCTGGTCAGAATGTACCCACTGGTATACTGTGGCCAGGGGTGCATTCTTGTAATACATTGGGTACATAGCACTGTTGAATGTGAAGCTCCATATGGGGGTTTTCAGTCACCTGATGGTCGTAGGGCTATCCCCAGGAATTTTTGTTTCAGTTTTATTCAGATCCACAATTAGCCTCATAAGAGGCTATTCTTCCCGTGGTCTACACATTCATATTTACATACATATATTACAAACGTACAAAACATTACAAAATTAACAGTACATGGCAAACTTTACACAAATTCACTATTTACAATCCAGTACTTTGCTAGTTGCCTATGTTATTCCACGTGTGTGACATCCTGTACATAAAGCGCTTTTTCTGAGAGTTTGATTTTGGTTTTGGTAGTCTGATTTTGTTTGTGCTGGTTGAACGTGTGCGGTACTTGTGGATCTCAGATTGGAATGTGATTTTGTCGTACAAGGCCTTTGGTTGTTTGGTGAGCATGATACGTTTAAATGTGACAAGGCTTCTCTGTTGGATTCTGTCCCTGACAGTCAGCCATCCTAATGTCTTCAGCATGGTGTCCACATGTGCATCCCGATCACAACCAAGAGCTAGCCTTGCTGCCCTGTTCTGGACCACCTGTAGTCTTCGTATGTTGTTCTGTGTTGTGTTTCCCCATACGGAGCAGCAGTAGTCTATATGTGGGATTATTAAGGCGTTGACTACGGCTATTCTCTGCCGATGTGGTAGTAAGTCCTTAACCCTTCCCACCTGTGCCAAGCTTCTGTTGCACTTCTTAACTATGTGAGCAATGTGGTTGTCGTATGTGAGGTTTTGATCAAGGTGAAGTCCAAGTAGCTTTACTGAGGGACATTGTTCTAGACGTTGTCCCCTTAGCTCCAGCTCCAAAGGTGGTGCTTGCCTGGTTTTCTTTGTTGTTCCCACAAGCATCGTTTTCGTCTTTCCATTATTTAGTTTCAGCATGTTTTCATCTGACCATGTTGCCACTCTTTCTAAGTCTGTTTTGGTTTCTGTTCTTATGTCCTCTAATGTGTGTCCTCGTGTGTGAATCGTGCTATCATCAGCATATTGGTCTAATGACCCATTTTGTACCGCTTCCGGCATGTCGTTTACGTAGATGTTGTACAGTTGCGGACCTAAGCAGCTACCCTGTGGTACCCCGCAGTGTAGGGTGTTCTGACTGCTGTAGGCTCCATTCGTGTAAGCTAGCCATTTGCGGTTTGTCAGGTACGATTCAGTCCAATCCAACGCATCCTCAGTGAACCCGTACGTCTCGAGCTTCTATAGAAGAAGATTGTGGTCCACCAAATCGAATGCCGCACTGTAGTCCAGCAAAACTACCGCTGTCATAAACCCATTATCCATGTTGTCTAGCCAGTCGTCTGTCATCTTCAGCAGAGCTGTTTCGGTGGAGTGCAGTTTTCTGTAGGCATGTTGTGCCTCTGATTGACAATCTGACTGGAGTAGGTAGGATGCAATCTGCTTAGCAGCAATACTCTCACATATCTTCCCACAAGCTGGAAGTAGGCTCACAGGTCTCGAGTTTGGTCCTGACAGTGGTTTCAGTTTTGTCAAATCTCATATTTTCATATTGTTTGCCTCAGGCCAAACATATCATGGCAGAACGGAATGTCCTGCTGAAAAACCTGAAGCACCCCTTCCTGGTGGGACTGCACTACTCCTTCCAGACACCAGACAAGCTGTATTTTGTGTTGGACTATGTCAATGGGGGAGAGGTGGGTCTTGTTTTTTTAATGTTCTCCCATTGAATGTAGTAGATATGTAATGTGCATTGTTGTAAGGCATATTGTACTTGTTTTCCAGCTGTCTTTGTCTATATATCTTTTGACACAGGTCTGTCACATCCTCCATACATTGATATAGTTTCTGCTGGCTCCCTAATGTTGATGCAACATTAGAGAGGGTCCAAAAACTATGGAGGATGGCACACAGGCTTGTCACAAACATAACCTATATTTAACATTGTTAATCTACATTTAATATATTTCTTTGTCATCAACCATTTGTTAGCACCTTAAGTTTGGATCACAAGGCCCTAAATATTTTTGCAGCATTGTACTTGTTTGTGCCAAGCAATTGTTATGAAACATTACACAGTTCAATGGTCATCAAGCATTATTTTTTGTCTCTCTTCCCAGCTGTTCTTCCATCTACAGAGGGAAAGGTACTTCCCTGAACCCAGAGCTCGTTTCTACGCGGCTGAGATTGCAAGTGCCTTGGGGTACCTTCATTCACTCAACATTATCTACAGGTAACAGGCTTCTACTGATCTATCTATAGTATACACTGAGAGCAAAAGTAACTTGCTATTGTTGGAAGCAAAGATACACTAGAAATGTCTAGAAATAAACATCAACCGTTCATTATTTTCAACTATATAAAATTTACTACCTTTAAAATTTTTGTCTTTGTCCTTAGTGCTGAAATGACATCCATTGAATTAGTCAGAAGCTGCTTAGAAAAGCAAACATGCCATTGTGACTACCTTTGTCCATGTGGAATGACAAAAAGCGTGAACTGTATAAACTGTATCCAGTCAGTCAGCTCTTCCCCTGAGGTGTAGACAAAACTGTCTGTCAGTATTTTAAACTAGTCGTATATGAAGGGATTGTCCTTTTATGATTTTACTCCATTCACTCATTAATTGTTTTTTTTGTGCATTTTCCACAAACTTTTCTCATTAAAATGAGAATGTTTTCTGTAATATGTTGAACTTTTTATCCGATTACATCAGTTTGCTTACATTATGTATTTCACCTTGCAGAGATTTGAAACCAGAAAATATTCTACTAGATTCTCAGGTGAGTTGAATAAGAATACATACTCAATTTTAACACAGTAGAATATTGTGTATAGTTGTTATTTTCTGAAAAATGTGAAATAATTGTAGACTCTTCACCGTCCCTTTTTTTCACAATGCTGATAGGTGTGTACTTTTCACAGTTTTAATCAATGCAGACGTTTTAAGTGGTTCGTTCTTTTTTTTCTTCCAAGGGTCATGTTGTTTTGACCGACTTTGGCCTGTGTAAAGAAGGAATCGAAGCTTCAGCAACTACATCCACCTTTTGTGGAACTCCCGAGGTATGTTGTATTCATGTGAGATTCATACAAATTGAGGGAGGGTTTTTCCAGCATGTACCCAGAACGTTATTCACAATGCACAAGCCTCCGGACATTCAACATGGCTGATGAACTGTTTTTATCAATACAATCATTTCAATGAATTAGTAATTTATAGACACCGTGTAACCTTTGATTGACATGATTGTTGCTATGTGTATTAGGCTTGTCAAGGGGTTGTTAGAATTCATCATTGTGTTTGATACGTGTTGTGGCAACGTTTCATCAGTGTGATTTATTTTCAAAGTCTGCCCAGGATAATACCCTCTTATATGCATTTTGAAGCACTTGAAACCAACATATCCCTATTAGTAGCTACATGTACTGTATCTGTAACTGTGTCTTGACTTCCAGTACCTTGCACCAGAAGTGCTGCGGAAACAGGCGTATGACAGATCAGTAGACTGGTGGTGTCTGGGTGCAGTGTTGTATGAGATGTTGTATGGGTTGGTAAGTGTCATAAGTCTGGTATTCCTTTTGTTCTAGCTCCATTTTGGTCTTTTGGTCACTTCTGTGTTGAGTAGTCTGGCGCCCAGTGACATTTGACTGTTTACCTCAGATGTTAATTCATGAAGATTTACAGTTCAAAGTCACCCAGTCCTATATCATGGCACGACAACATGACAATAGTCAGGGGCAGTTGCCAGACTATTCTGCAGGGACATCATTGGTGAAACAGACTGGAGCTATAGTCTAAGAATAAGATGGATACCAGGCTACCAACTTCATTTTGTTTCTTTTGCCTTTTCAAGTCATGTTCATCAATGAGGATCTAATAATAAATTTAATTTGCTAGTACATTGTGATACATGTATATTCACTAAGTTGTCAGCCTTCTTACAATGGTTCTGACTGGAAAATGTATGCTCCTTCCAGCCCCCATTCTATAGCCGGGACACTGCAGAAATGTATGAGAACATCCTCTACAAACCTCTGAAACTCAGGACCAACATTTCACCAGCTGCCAGGCACATCCTGGAAGGGGTGAGTACGCCAGATGGAACAGCTTCATAAGAGAGTTTGATAATCATAGCATATACACATGTACTAGATAAACATACGGAAAAAAGGAACATCAATGTATAGATGAATTACAGGTGTAGCAGGTGAGTATATACCCAGAGTCAGAATATACCTTTGATTGTGACACATTTACTGGGGGTGCTTTACGTACTGTAATTCAGTTTATGTTGACAGTAGAAAAGTTTCAAGGTCTGAGAAAAATGGCCATGTTCACGGTGGTGACAGGTGCAGAAAAAAGAAAGTCCAGGAATAATTTGATGACTGTAATGATAAGTTCACAGTACAGAAGTGACAGTGAAAACAATGAACATAAAAGTACCGTGAAAAAATCGGGAATTACAGTACCAAAGTTAGGTACCAAACAAATATTAAGTGATTTTGTACTCATGTGGCCTAAAGCTACAATTAGATTTAACAGTGACCTCCAATATGACAACTTCAGATAATCATTCTGTTTTAAGGTGTCCACTGTTCAGTTCAGATTTACATGTAAAAGCGTTTAAGACAACCTTGCATCTTCCCTCATACAGCTACTACAAAAGGAGAAAGAAGACAGGCTGGGCACTGGGGACAAAGACTTTGTAAGTCTGAGTGGAATGATCAGATTTTATTGACTGTTTACTGATATTGTGAATAAAACATTGTACATGTACAATATGCATATGTTGAAAATTCTTCATTACTTTAAATTATTTATGTAACATGGTACCAGTATTGGTTGTTTAAAGATTAATTTGCATATAACCAGGAAAACTGCATATTTTCTGTGCAAATGGGTAGATTAACCAAATAATACTACCAGTAGACTCTACTTTTCTTTGTAATACTTGTATTATAATCTGAAAATGCTGGTGCCAGTCTTCATAAGCACTTTAAGTTGTATCATGTTATGCCATTCAGCACCAGGGATGGATGGTATATCTGCTTCCTGTGGATTTTAGATCTTATATGCATTTGAACATCATTCAGCACCAAGGACAGGTGCAAGGAATTGGTAGAGCATGTGAACCTTGGTTGAAAGTACATGTACATATTATGTCTTATAATCCACTGGCATTTCCTAATCATCTGCCAGATACCAGATGCATTCCTAACTTGTATTCTGATGCAATGATAAGAATATATCATTATTATTGTAATGTATATGAAGTAGTAACCTCAGTCGATAATTAGTTTCTCCTGTGTTGCTCCCCAGGAAGAGGTGAAGACCCATGCGTTCTTCAGCAGTCTGAGCTGGCAGGACCTGTTGGAGAGGAAGATCCCTCCTCCTTATAACCCAGAAGTGGTGAGTAAGACTACGTAAGAGCATGGACGATAGGCCACCGAGTTTTTGTTGAAATCGCTGTTGCTTTGTTTCTAAACAAAAACACCTGTCCCTAAACTGCATTACCAACAGGGGTGGCTGCCTTAGGAAATGGACTGCGATGCTGTTCATTTCTGGATGTATTTTCCTCTTGCCATCCCTCACCTTGAGACTGAAACTCTCTCCTTATATACAGCACTCCACTTCTCTTAAAAGATTAAGTCAGTGAGAGACTGGACTGATTTCTATTTTAAATTGTCCTACTGATACTAAATGTGTGTTTAGATTTCTTCTCTAAATTTTCATACAGAGTGGCCAACTGGATTTGAAGCACTTTGACCCCGAGTTTGTGCGTGAGCCAGTGCCTGGGTCTGTAGGGAAGTCTACCGGAGTGATCAGTGCCAGCGTACAGGAGGCAGACGCTGCCTTCATGGGCTTCTCATACGCACCGCCCGCAGAGGATGCCTTCGAGTAAAGGAAAATGTCTTCATCTCAAACTTAAGACATTCCATTTTTGACTTGGGGCGTTGTGTCATAGTAAGTTCTTAAGGACATTTAGATATGCCATCATTTTTCTGGATTAACTTGCCAGAAGAGTCTATTGTGCCAATATTTGATAATAATAATAATAATCGTTCAACAATCATATCACCACAACAGTCCTCACTAGTATATGCAGGTGATTTTAGTTTGGTTATTAGGTACATTTTTTTAATCACAGTGCAAATAATTTGGAACTTTTAAATTAAACAATTTGCATGCATGGTTATGTAAATTGTTTGCTCACTTGCATAATTAATGCTACTGAACACTGAGGTGAAATTTATCTCAGAGACTATATTATTATAGTATGTACATGGAATTCATAACTCTGATAACAGAACTTAAATGTGCAACATCACAAATAATAAGATGATTTTTATGTTTAGATATCTGTGGCAGATACTGACAACATTGATGTCATAAGTGTCATTTTGGCATCAGAGGGAGATAGCAAGAAAATTGATTGCTTTATGATTGATTCCTTTTTAACACTTTTCCCATCTGATGGGGCAATAAGACAATTTTTTAATTGCTAGAGATTTCTTGTTTATTAGTGCCATATTGCATACTACATACTGTCGAACAATGTATGCAAAACCCAGACTTGTTGTGCTACTTAAATTGCAATGGACTGACTCAGTACATAATGTATAATTATCATTTCTACAGTAATCATTAGATGTACAGAATGATACAGTAGGTCAAAGGATAAAGCATAGCTGATATACAATGTCATGTAGCTGATATAGGCTTATTGTTAAAGGCTGAGGGCTAAGAGATACATTGTGTATTATCTTTTCAAACTGATTGAACTGAAGATACTGAAAAAGTTAAATTAGCTCTTCTTAAATTAGCTCTCCTATCAGTTCAAGAAGAAATGAAAATATGGATCTGATTGCTAAGAATGATAAACACTTCAAAATTAGCATCTCTTTTAGCTTTGATATGATTAATATTTTTATAAAAGTGTCTTTGCTAGGAAATAGAATAGTCTTGGCCCTTAAATATAGAAAGCTTTAAATGTACAGTGATCTTTTTTCAAACATGAGCTCAAACCAGATCTGAAATGTAACATATCAGATACATGTATATGGGGTATTTGCCATCACATGAACATGATAATCAACCATTACAACCAACATTGCAGACAACTAAAAAACATGTAGTTATGATGTGAGAAATCTTGATTTCCTTCTACCTCAGTATAGCTGCTTTTGTCCCTGTGTATTGATTATGAAGAATTCCCCATTTAAAATGCATCGCCTGTATATTCTTTATGACTGGATGCCATATTGAATCCACCATATTGGATCCCATTATACGGTATCCACCATACTGGATCCAACATGGCAGCTGCAGCTTTCATAAGCTGTGATGTCTCTTGGAAACACCCTATACTCAACTTTTGAAGAAAACACATGGTTTCTCAACAGGCTTTTAAACCAACTGAAGTTAAAGTGAGTTACCACAGTTTTTGCTTTTGGTTTTGTTAAAATCAGCTACATTCTAGCTTTGCCTATTGCAAATAGGGGAAAACTTTGTAACTATGTAGAAGAGGTCAGGTTTCATAATTATGAATGTTAAGTTCTCAAAATCCCATCTCCTCAATCCTCATCAATTTAGTAACAGATAGATGTACATGTATATAGTCAAGGCAGTTTGATGATATAAAGTTTTGTCACATGTATTGAGGTAATCTCAATCAGCTAGACGAATTTCACACCATGACAAATTATCAGTGGTAAGAATACTTATGAAATGATTTCTACCAGTAATTACTTAATACTGTATATTTCATTTGTTATGATCTTTTTAGTTTTCTGTCTGCATGTCATATATCTTAGTACTTGCAGGTTGAGTTTTAGATTTAGTTTGGAACTTCACAGTCAATGTCGGGCTGGTGCCAGTCGTTGTGTGATAGGTTTATTACAGGGCATTCTTGGTACAGCAGTGGGTTTGACATCCAAAATTCAGCTGTCTCAGTACAGAATAGGTTATCGTAGATCCTTGTCAATGGTTGCCCATGACAAAAAACTTGTTATGGCAAACCTTTAAGACTGCCGTTAATTATGGTCAAGAGATAATTTCATGAGATAATCTTAAGAAATAGACGGACCATTGACTAATTTGGATGCCTTTAAATTGTGTCAGCAGCAGCTTGAACAGCAACAACAAATATCCTTAACAGCTAAGAAAACTAGACGAACATCGAGTCCTTTAACTTGAAGTACTGAATACTAGTAGTTGCACTCATGGGTTTGATAGTAAATCCACAAAAGACTTCAAAGCATAATGTAAAGTGTATTTTATAGTACAGAGCACTTTATAAGTACTAATTAGGTCACTTCTGCACGCAAGAATACTGTATTCACAGCAATAGTGTTTTGAAATAGCTTTCAGATATTTTACTACATATATGAAGATTTGTGTATACCATGACTTTTTTCATAGACCTTTGAAGTTTATGAATGACAATATAATGCTATCTTTGATTCATATCATAATGATGTTATACATTAGATATCAATAAGATTTTGTATAATGTATAGAATTTCATAATCTCTGCCTAGTTGTGAGGAGAAATTCCTGCAATATGAAGCTGATTTATGCATTTGTTCATAGTGTTGTACATCATAATCCATTTTTGTCTGCTCTGACACAAGATATGGAAGACGGTTTCAGTATCTTCACAAAATGTGTGCCATCTGTGCAACTTATTATTTAGTAATTGTCATATTGTGTATTGTAACATACTCACAGGGTTCCTAGGCTGTGTGTGAAATATCAGATTAAGTTACCACATATATTTGCTTTATTATATAAGAGCTACAGTTTGAGAAATTTTTATCAAATTAATGATAGAAATACTATCAATCCTTCACATTTCTGTTACTTTTACCGTAAGTTCACAAAGCTTAGGTTAGGTTGATAGGTGCAAAGTATGGTTCAATTGGTTGTTTATATTCTGTACATGTATTGAAAGTCCACACCAATGTAATTCCTTGGGTCTCAGATTCAGTTTCTTTTATTTGCAAAAAAAAAGGCATGATACATATCACCCCTACTTATTTTGGCGCCAAAAGTTTTAAGTCCTTTTTTTCCTGCCCCATCCGTTTACTTAATGTTTCGAAAAGCCGAGAACCAAGGAAAGAAATTGTGTGTGCTAATGGGAAAATTAGTCGAAAATTATAACCCAAATTTCTGAATTTCAAAGACAGTAATATGTGTGATTGGGCAAATGTTTTTTTTTTTTGCTATTATATTCATATCTTGAAAATTGAAATTACTTGTAGCAGAAAATTATGTGAAAGTTGTGATTTTAAAAAGTGTCAACATAGCAAATCTGTATAATTTTTTCAAGGAGCATTTCATACAGATATGTATTTAAAGCTTCTTGTTTTCTTTTTCAATCATGATAATCATGATCCAATATGATAACCTGTACATACTATGATTTTTACAGTCATGTACTCTATTGTATACATGTGGGCACAGTTTAAATGTGCAAATTAATTAAGAGGCTTGATTACCTCTCAAAATATCTAGTCTGAAGGAAAGGTTGATACTATTTTTTCAGATATATGTGCAATCCATGTATTTATATGTGATGATGAAATACAAATTAAAGAGTAATTCTCCCATCACAAGGTGTCCCTGTTTGCTTTGTTTATTTACAGTACTATAAAATTAAAAAAGTTTTGTGGCATTTCAATTTCAGAGCACATTGGAAATCATTAACATGTACAATATCTTTATTTGTTTATTGTAACATAATCTTTGAGCTTGTAGCTGGTCAACAGTAGTAACACTGTGACAATGGATACAGAACTTGAAAAGTTTGCAAATGTAGAAATGCCAAAAATCCTAAAATACTGTACAAATTCCCTAATTTCCGCTTCATCAACGTATTCTAATTTGCACCTTTTATCAGTTTCCTACTAAAAGGTAGAAAATCCTATTTCTGTTAATATTGTTCAATAGCACCTGTTTCAAGTGCGGTTTTCACAAGTTGACCAACATTTGTAAGCAAAATATTGAGCCTGAAATATTGTCTTGAATAATGTATGACTTTTTCTTGAGCAAAGTGCTGATGCGCATTCTGCTGTTTGAATTAGCCTCCTTGGGTCAACAACTTTTGGCGGATGTTGTCCTAAACCAGTATTGACAGGCCTCCCCATAGACTAACAGGTGGCCTTGTTCAATTCTTCAATACATTTACATGAAAACGACAAACGTCACGAAGTCTAACATATCTAAAGATCAAACACACACACAAAATTGTCCAGTAAAGATGAAACGGCAGCAGACACTGAGATTTAATGTCATGCATTGGTTAGCAAGAACTACAATGGCATGGCAAGCGAACCCCTACGGCCCCATATTGATCCTATTGATAGAAACGCCGGTGTGAGACCACCATGTTTGCCGCCGCGCCTCACACCACCTCACCTGACACTAGCACGGCAAGATGGCCGACAAAGGAGAGGGCGTGTACGTTCCTCCTGATCATATCAGGGAAAACTCCCACGTCTCCTCCATAGAGCAGTACCACAAGATGTACAAGGAATCCGTGGAAAACCCCGAGGCGTTCTGGGGCAAAATCGCGCATGATTTCTACTGGAAAACGCAGTGTACCGGCAAGTTCTGGGAGTATAACTACGATGTCCGACAGGGTGACATTTTCATCAAATGGATGGAGGGAGCGACAACTAACGTTTGTTACAACTGCCTGGACCACAACATTGACAAGGGTCTGGGGGACAGCGTAGCGTTCTACTGGTAAGTTTCAGTCCCAAAGAGTTAAATGTGAAGACTAGAAGACATTTAGACATTGAACAAAAGAAGTTCCTTGATTACTAGTAAAGTATAATTTGACGCCTAAGGCAACAAAATTATGCGGTGTAAATGAGCGCATTAAAGATGGTGGCACCATAACAATAACAATGGATCAGTAGTACAATTGTATCACACTTGCGGCCAAGATGTAGACAAATAAGATATGTGTAGTAGATACCGGTAATTTGCATCATTATAGTATAGTATACAAATACGAATAGGACCATGTAAAACCAGTTAGAAGCTGAGTCCCCTTTTCAAAAAGTCAATGGTTTGAGGTATTTCGAAAAAGCTAGTTAACCTTTAAGTTAACAAATTGCAGGTAAAAAGTACTGACAACTTGCAAGATAAATTTGAAAATAAAAGAAAAAAAAACTTATTTTACTAATTTTTGAGCCCAGATAATGTCAGAAGGTCTTTGGTTACTCATGTGACTAATGTGGTCAACAAGTTGACCCTTTGTCCTTGTATCCAGCCTATGAAGGTCCTTCTGTGGATCATGGAATGAAGTGGGTGCAGCTGTCTAGTATTTTATTAGCTCATCTCCAAGCAGACGTAGGGGTCCAACGTAGTGTTTTTGAGGCTTTTCTATATAACTTTCTAAATTCTAGTGGTCTGCGACTCTGCGTTTTCCTTCGGATTCCTCTGGACCTGTCTTCCCCACACAAGAAGAATGAAAAATGTTGACCATTTGCACCCTGGGCTTTAAAAAGATTCAAAAACTTGCTTTAAAAAGTGAGCAGGACCCCACTTGGAGTGAAGTAAGCCTGCAGCTGTCTGTAACGCACGTTTTATTTACTGAGGTCAGATAAGGTTAACCCTTATAGTGACAGGGCTCAGAGTCAGACTAGAGTGTGTTTGATGATTGGACAATCCAGCTAAGTTTGGTAAAACCAAAGATGTCTTAGGTTAAACTTTAAAAGGTCAATTGAAAGGTTGGTACAAATTAACACAAGTTATATACCCATCTGTTGTGATGTTACATAAAGAGAAGGGAGTGAAATACAGTAACCCCCAAATAATTTTATATCATAAATAAACTACACAGTTGTAACGCTATTTATGATTATTAATAGATTTTTCTTAATATAGGCAAGGACATTATGTATAAATTACTATAATGTCCTTGATATAGGCTAATAAATTTGGAAATTATATGTCATTGACAAGTTTTCTTCCTCAGTGTTATGATGACATAATTATAATTCAGTAATATATTTGAAAATGATACAATTATAATTGTGTTACTAATATAAGGTGCATATGCTTCATTCTTTTTCTTTTTAACACCAGGGAAGGCAACTATCCAGGAGATGCCAGTCAGATCACTTACAACCAGTTGCTGAAAGAAGTTTGCAAGTGTGCCAATGTCCTCATCAACAAAGGTACAAAACTTCTTAAATTCTTTCAAGTGTGTTTTACATCAGTGTGTTTTGGTTTAAATGAATGATTCTAAATCTAATTTCTTAATGATAAGTTTATTTGCAAATTCATGTCCAAGGGCTGACACAGTGCAATTGTGACAAGTGGAACAAGTGACTATACTATAAATTGCTACAGACAATAAAAGAAAATGTTTGTGTTTGCTGTCAATAGGAGTGAAGAAGGGGGACCGCGTGGCCATCTACATGCCGATGATTGTGGAGCTTGTCGTGGCCATGTTAGCCTGCGCCAGGATTGGAGCTGTGCACTCTATTGTGGTAGGTATCTATTGATGGATGGGAAAGAATTGAATGTTATATATTTTACCTCTTACATGTCTTTAAATAATTCTATATGTGCAAGGGTGCTTTTAGATTGCACTAATTGTAAGAAAAGATGAAGTAGAATGTCTTTTGTCTCAGTTCATTAGGAAATGTTTGATGCTCCAGACAACATTCTCGTCACAGTATGGCTCATATATGTACTTAGAGATTTTAATTGTTTTGTACTTTTGTTGTTGTTGTCCAGTTTGGAGGATTCTCTGCAGACTCACTAGCGGGAAGGATCTTGGACTCAAAAAGCTCTGTTCTCATCACTGCAGGTACATGAAGCACACACACTTTTATACTGTGTCTGACTTAACATAATAGATGTCCTGACATTACAGTTATTGGGAATGTGTTCCTTTGTAATGAGTTGTAGATGTCTGAATAGATTCATAAAGTTGTAATCTCAAACATGTAAAGTTAGTTACAAAGTTAGTTCCAACACGAAAAGAAAGACTCACCATGTATGAAGTTTTGTTCGAACACATCTTGGTGAGGCTTTCTTTTCGTCTTGGAACTTAGGCTCGAACTTTGTACTACTAGTAGTACTACCAACACAGATGAGCTGTCATTCAAATATCAGGAATAAAGTTGTTTTGCCTGGCTGTTAAAGATTTTTTTTCAGTTTACACAATATGCATTCAATTTGCTATAACCATCTAGATACATGTATGCATCAACCCATGTACCAATGAAAGAATTTGGATTTGCTGTTTCCTCCCCAGATGGTGTTTACCGCGGTGAGAAGTTGTTGAACCTGAAGGAGATCTCGGACACGGCGATCCAGGAGTGTCTGGAGGCCGGCTTCACCGTCAGCTCCTGTATCGTGGTCAGGCACCTGGGGGAGAGCAGGGAGCCTGGAGCAGGGGGGGACACCGAGCACCACCCACCGAAAAGACCCTGCATCAAGCTTCAGGTAAGGACGGAAGGAAAGAAAGAAAAAGAAAAAAAGAGTGAGAGAAAAAGAAAGAAAAAAGAGTGAGAGAAAGAGAGAAAGAAAGAAAGAAAGAGAGAGAGAGAAGGAAGGAAGGAAGGAAGGAAGAAAACCACCTTTACACCACACCAATTTCATTAGTTGCTTCTCGGATGCTCCACCTTCATTTTGTTCTCATTTAAAAAAAAACAAAAGATTCGGCTTATGATGAATCAACTCCAAAATGCTCATATTTCAGCTGAAACAGTTGAAGAAAGTTCTCTTCAAACAGTAAGTTTGTACTATATTATTGATGGAACAGTCACTAAGTGTTGATATGGGACTGTTATTGGCAGACCAACTGGCACAACGACCGTGACTGTTGGTGGCATGACCTGATGGCGGATGCCAGCGACCAGTTTGAACCAGTCTGGCTGGATGCTGAGGATCCGCTCTTCATGCTCTATACCAGGTAAGTGGTTATCCATCGTTTGACTTTCATTTAGTTTGCAGGTTTTGAAAATATACATTGCACTGTACTTATAGCATTACAAGAACTTAATTTTTATTGTGCATTATACATAACTTTGTGCTAGATGTGAAATATTTTGCAGTATAGACTCACTCAGTTTTTTTCTGTACCAATGAAGCAGGCATCTGGTGACCACCATGTCGGTGTCCCTATTTGCATTTCATTGACCTATCATAGCTTAGAGCATTTTTAATTTGAAGGGCATTTCTCTGGTGTTCTTTTCTTTGAGCTATAGACATTTAATAGTGGTTGTAGGATCAGAAGATCTAAAAATGTCTGAAAATGCTTCAGCTATGATTCACTAAAATGCAAATACGGACACCAACATGGCAGAGGACGCAGCAATAATGTCATGTGAAACTACTCAGTCCATAGATAGAGACTGTACACAGTTGATGCTAATGCCTCCTGACTTTGAACAATTCCTACCATTTCTAGTGGGTCGACAGGCAAGCCCAAAGGTGTGCTCCACACCCAGGCAGGGTACATGCTGTATGCAGCAACCACCACCAAGTACGTGTTTGACTACAAGCCTGGGGAGGTGTACTGGTGCACCGCTGACATTGGCTGGATAACAGGTCACTCCTACATCACCTACGGACCAATGCTGAATGGAGCTACAAGTGTGATAGTAAGTAACAAAGGAACTGGACTCAAGTGCTAAAAAGTTGTTACGGTTAATCGTTTGTGCTCTCAAGGAGTTTTTAGTCTAAGATAATTTTGTCATTTCATTAGACTCTCTCTTTACCCTATAAGTACGAAGTAGTAATTTTAATGTCCAAGGTTCCTGTCATTGTATAACTAAAAGTAGCCTTAGATAACTTGTCCTATAGATATAACAAGGAGATTTTGATGACCTCACATGCTCACAAATTGTACACAAAATAGTACTCAAATCTTAAATCATAATTTGAGTTTCAGAGTAATATCAGTAACTAGGCCAATTAATACCGGTAAGACCTAATTTAGTTTTTAGTGACTAGTTGAATGTTGTAGTAACCCACTAACAGTGACTGTGTTTACTGACAGTTTGAGGGAATGCCCATATGGCCTGATGCAGGAAGGATGTGGGAGATCGTGGACAAGTACAAGGTCTCCAAATTCTACACCGCTCCTACCGCCATCCGAACACTCATGAAGTTTGGGGAGGACTATGTCAAGAAGTAAGTTTGGAAGATGGAATTCTGAGTACAAAAAATCAGCAGAAAATTATTGTGTGATACATACATAAAAATTGCATTGTCAAGAGCCTTCTAAAATGTTTAAAGCATTTTGGCACATTATAAAAGGTTGAATGTTTAAATCAGGACTGTCGACAGACTATATATATTAAACAGCAAGAAGCTAGAATAGAATGGATACCACATCCTCCTATGTGACTGTGTATGTTTAGATCATTTTTTTCCTTCTAACAATAACAGAGAATTAACTCACTTCCTGTCCTTACAACTGTTTGGGACTGATAACAACAGTAGAATGAGTTTGATTCTGTGTCAGACCATTGAAAAAAACATTTTCTTTGGAAATATTTCTTAATCATCATATACCGGTAAAGTATCAAAGAAATAGTGGCAACGGTTGCTGAACAGTTTTTAGTATGATCCATGCCTGTCAAAGTCTGAGTGGTGCAGGTAAAATTTGTCTGGTGTAGGTAATTTATTTTCAATGTTACCTACACCAGTACAGGCGTTCAGAAAACATGTTTTGAGCCGTGATTTAACATTTTGTAAATCTGCAGGCACTCCAGAAAAAGCCTGAAGGTGCTGGGCACAGTTGGGGAACCCATCAACCCTGAGGCCTGGCTCTGGTACTACAACGTCATCGGGGACAAGAGATGTTGTATTGTGGATACATACTGGCAGACAGAGACTGTGAGTTTACATTTTTATACAGCGGAAAAAAATGGTTGTTATAAATGGATAAGACAATTCGTTTTAGCACAACCAAGTATACTGTTATCAGTACTCCTTCTGTAACCTTTCTCAAGGCAATTCTACTTCCTACCACTAGGTGGCTCTGCAGTGAGAAAAATGCGTTATCAATGTTTTCCTATTGACATAACCAAAGCAATGCAAATGAAGTTGTAGCATCAGTCAAATTGACTTTAAAATGTCATAATCTCTCATATTGCAGTGATACATTGAATTCCACCAAAACGTACAGTAACTAATGTACTTTTTTATTTGTTGTCTAGGGTGGACATGTCCTAACACCTTTGCCCGGTGCCACTCCTGCCAAACCTGGCTCTGCAGTAAGTGTCTGTATTTACAATACTTGTGATTTTCCCCAAACATTACCGTAAAATAATGAAATTTTTGCGGTGGTTTAAAATTTTGTGGTTTATTTTTTGTAGTGATATCTCACAGAGAACTCACTACCTTGTGAACTTAAGTTAAAATACAAAACAGTCAGCACCTCTTTCTGTCTTACTGCAAAATTAAACCTCTGCAAACTTAAGGAAGTTTACAGCTGAAGTGAATGTAGGTTAAGCTGAAACTAAAAATAAACCAAAACTATAACCATGTAATAAGATTGCTGACATTTACAAAATAACACCAAGTTACATGTACTTAGTATGTTGCACATTGTCGTGTTTTGATGTAATAATTTGATTTTATCTGCAGACTCTGCCCTTCTTTGGTCAAGTCCCAGCTGTTGTGAATGAGAATGGTGAGGAACTGGATGGTCCATGTGAAGGGTATCTGGTAAGGGCTGTTTGTTTGTTTGTTTGTTTGTTTGTTTGTTTGTTTGTTTTTAATTATTAGAAAATAGTACATGTAAACAATAATCAACAAAAAACAGGCCTGTCTGTAAACTATGATTTTCCACTCAAGCATCTGCTTGAAGATTAATTTGAGGTTAATTCAATTTTAATTTCAATTCCAGTTTTTATGTATGTGACTGTATTTGACATGAAGTCTAGCAGTACATACTTGTCTGTAGTATCTATCTCTGTAACTGAATATGTAGAACACATCTGGATGTGAGAGATGTTGTTATTGAGAAGGTTTGTGTGTGTGACATTGTCAGGTACTGAAGCAGCCGTGGCCAGGACAGATGAGGACAGTGTACGGCGACCACCAGCGGTTTGAGAGGACCTACTTCCAGAAGTTCCCTGGCTACTACTGCACGGGGGATGGTGAGTCTTCTGCAACATTCTTTGTAGAAACTTTCTTTATGGATATTGATGAGCACAATAAAGTATACATTATGCATTGTACATTATTTTTTTCTTTCGTTTGTGAATTCTGTTGTACTTCTGTTTTGGATCCGTGGTATATGTGTTATCTTTTGTGTTATTGTAGTGTTTGTTATTTTGTAAAATGATGAATAAAGAAACATAATATACATTTATGACTTTTAAAATTCTCGGCCAATTATTTGCATCATAATCATCTGGCGGCTGCGTATCAGCTTATCCAATGGCTGCTGTTTCCCAGGGTGCACCAGGGACAAGGACGGCTACTATTGGATCACGGGGAGGACAGACGACATGATGAACGTGTCGGGCCATCTCCTCAGTACCGCTGAGATCGAGTCTGCCCTGATCGAACACTCGGCAGTGGCAGAGGCGGCCGTGGTCGCTTATCCTCATTCCATCAAGGGAGAGTGTGTGTACTGCTTTGTCACTCTCAAAGAGGTATGTATGGTAACACTGGTAGTGAACCTTCAGAGGGTAAATGATTTTCTGCACCACTGTTAATATGGTGTGATGTATATGGTGTGATAAGTGTGTTAAAGCCTTGTCAGTTGCTATAATCACCTCATCAAACCACCGAGTGAGTGTAGCAAAGAAGTAAAAAAAGAATGTATTGTTAAGGGACTGTACGATATTTACCGGGGAGGGGGGCTGGTCGTCCGGGGGTAGCGTAAAAAATTTTTCCTAGGCCCTCCCCCCAGGTCAAAAAAAATTTTCCTAGGCCCTCCCCCCACCTCAAAAAATTTTTCCTAGGCCATCCCCCAGGCGTGAATCATAGAGAGTGAAATTTCGTATGGGGAGGACGAGATTTTGATTGAAAATTTTCCCGGCATGAAGCGCCGAAGGCGCGAGCCATCGCGCCGCAGGCGCCACTAGAGCCCGAGTAGGCCCGGCTTTTTTTGGGGGGGGGCATGTCCCCCCCAGAAAAATTTTGAATTTCAACCCATGTTTTGCATGTTGAGGGGCAAATTTGGTAGCTCAAATTTACATACATCGAGCTATAAATTTAAAGTCAGTAACGTTAAGGTCAGTCAGTGTAATCGAAATAATTCTCTATCTAGCCTACCTTTCGTCCACGTCTTCCGCGTCAATTTTATTACAAACAGGGAAACAATATTGCCAAGTTACGTGTTGTTTTCAATTAACTTTGCAGGGACATAGATATAAATGTTAAAATAGTCCTTGGTTTAAGAAAAATACCAAATTAATCCGTCGACATCCGACATCCACGCCGAGAAGTTCGAGCGAGTTGCGAGGCGGGACCAGCGGGTCACCTTTGGCGACGCACGCACACCACTGGGAAGGGTGCGTTGAACGGCGAAAATTAATTTTCAAAATCTTCCGACAAGCCTTCCCTACATTTTGATCGGTATCGTTTCGATAGCCGCGATTGACACGACTTTAATCCATGTAAATTGGCTGTGTAGTCCAGTTTCGCCGATTCTGGCGAAAATGCAAGATTTTGAAGAGGACTGTGGGAGATTTGGGCGAATACATTATAATAATAGGGATGGATATTATTGGAACGTAAAATTCTGCCGATTCCAATGACCTGCAAATCGCTACGATATGTATGGGACAGACGTTAATCATGTTTTGAAAGTGTATAAAAACGTTGTAGAGTTAAAGGGATCTTGGAAAAAATTTTTACCTAGGCCCTCCCCCAAATTAGAATATTTTTTCCTAGGCCCTCCCCCCGGCTCAAATTTTTTTTCCTAGGCCCTCCCCCCTCAGACGACCGGCCCTCCCCCCCCGGTAAATATCGTACAGTCCCTAAGTGTGCTGGGGTATTTTCGTGTTATTTGTAATATATATCATATTATGCCTCAGTCACATTGGTGCTCCTCTAATACTTACTAGATAAATTTTTTCCAGTGGCTTATTCTTCACTCAAAAATCTCCATCCAATATTGTTTATTTTTCCAGGGAAAGATGTTCAATGATGCACTTGTTGGTGAACTAAAGGTCAAAGGTAAGATATTTGATTTCTTCTTCTTTGTAAAGCTTTTGTTATTCAGTGTGGTACTGTATGTAACTTCTGGTATTAATAAGGAGTTAATATCGTACGCGATAGCTATATTAAAAGTTTGCTATGAAAGGGTTTTGTCTTTAAGTTGATGTCTGTTAGAAGTTAATCATAACCATGATTGATTGATGAATGGGTTGATCGATTCCTATCTTCTATAGTACGCCAGAAGATCGGTCCCATAGCTGTCCCAGAATACATCCAGAACGCCCCGGGTCTTCCCAAAACGCGCTCAGGGAAGATCATGCGGCGTGTCCTGAGGAAGATCGCCAAGAACCAGCAGGACCTGGGGGACGTGAGCACCATGGCAGACTCCTCCGTGGTGGAGGTGCTGTTTCAGAACAGGCCCAAAAACGTGCAGGGCTGGGTGGAGTAGTCTCCGCATGAGATTATATTATAGCAACTGTCTCCGCAGCTAAAGATGCCAAGATCACGTCACGGGGTACAACAGACATCATCTAAGTCATTACAAAGTATTATGATATCATCAAATGTGGCATTTGGCAATTGTTTTCCATGAAGAATGTTGCTAGTGTAAATCACTTGATATTCATGATAGCAAAATTGTGCGGTGGCAGCAAGCGCAGAAGAAAGAAAGTTGGCATATTATTTGTTCGCAGTGATGATAAAGTTGCATGATAAAGTGACAGTGAAAACTGCAAATACAAAAGTACCACGATAAAATTGTAATTTACAGCATTCTACCACAGTGACTGTGCTTTCTCTATTGACTTGCAGACAAGTCAATGATTTTTGGCTTCAGATGATCTCAAGATACTCTAATACCTTTAGGATAACATTAGCATGTGTAGCATAATTTAGGTTACTCATCGACCTCACTGAAAGAGAAGAAGAGTCCACTGTGGACAACTGACCACTGCTTACTGGTTGTCCTTGCCATTTTGATGATGTAGGTTGTACCCCGTGCATGTTGACTTAAATTTCAACTTCATGAGATGCATTCCAATGTAGATAACAATTCATATCCAAGTTTGTGTTTGTGACACATGTCTGTGTCCCGAATGAAGAAGTCTTTCACTGTGATCATTGCCTGGTTAAACACCTCATTAAGTACAGGATGTCATAAAATGTACATTAACTAAAGTCTGAAGGGCCATCCCCGTTTATGTCTGCTAATAAGATCGTTGAAAAATAACAGTTACTGGTACTTGGTTCAAAATCTTTAAACACCAACACACCCTAAGAAAGGTATAACAGAAGTTTTTTTTTTTCATCAGGCATTAGAAAAATTGCAATGGTTGTTGTTTTTTGGCCAGTCTATACATCTGTGGAAACGTAAAAGTGCAGTGCATTTAACTTTTGAACTCTAAGTGTTCCATATTCGCTAATCAAAAAAAATTCAAGAGCTGTGCCACTGCTAATAACTTCACTACCAAATTGTTTGCAAGGTCAAAATTGTAACGTGGGAAAGGGAGCAATTAAGGTAATGAGACTATTTTGATTCCTTGGGACCAGTCAGGATGAAATGTTTTACCTCATTTACATGTTATGTAGTTGTCAACCTTTGTGAAAGTGTGTGGAAATATTCCTTTTTGTTCAAATTTCGGCCTGTAGGCCCTATAGTGCATGTCAACTGGAAATTATTGCTAATATCTTTTGGGGTGTAGTATCAGGCATTATGCATTTTATGGACATGACATTAATTTATATATGAGGGAAGTACATGTATTGATGAATAAGTTGTTTAAAGATTATGATAATTAGGTAGAATAGCTAGAGAAATCTTTCGTTTTATGTAGTGTAGGTGCCTTACTTAGTCCTTAGGTGTTTTTTGCAGAGCAGCCGTAACTGGAACTCCACAGTTCTTAACTTTTTTTTTTTTACTTTTCTCCGCTTAGTCAAGAATGTTTGTGTTTATGTTTGAGTGCATAGATTTTACATGTTGAGCAATCCAGGGGTTGTGGCTAATATGATTACTACTTAAAATAAACCAGTTCCAAGTGCACATGTGCGGGGGCCACAGTTTAACATCCCTGGACATCCTTTGTGTACATGCCAGGCGCCTTAAACTTTGACCTTTGACAACACACCACACTGCAGATGCACACTTGGAACTGTGAGCTAACTTATAGGCTGAACTAGTCCAGAAAAACAAACCCAGTCAAACAACATGGGCATACATGTGTAGGTGGGTATATGTGATCATTGAATAAAAGAGCCGAGTCATACCATGTAGCACTATGTAACTGCTTTGTGAGACCCAACAACCCAGTCATACCATGTTGCAAGGTATAACTGCTATGTGAGACCCAATTGAGTCTTCCTTGAACTAAAGGCACCCTTTCTCTTGATAGGGGACCATTCGGCAACTAAAATTGGATTTGTATGACCTATGACTTTAACTGAATATAGTCCATGGTGCTTTGACTATAATGAAATTTTTGGTAGTTCAACGGTAGCCACACAAGGGAAAAGGGGGTATTCCCAGTTTTAAACAGTAAAAAAGGCTTACTACTACATTGTACAGTAACTGTAGTAAAGACTTTTAGCAGAGATGGTAAGGCCTAAAGGTAATGGTCAGGGTAAGTGCAAACTGGACAAGGGAAGCCATTATGAATGACGTCTCCTTTTTTAAAGTTGAAATACGAATGTAACAGCAAAACATTGTTTTGTAGTCTGGTGTATTGAGAAAGGGATAAATGCTGGTTGTGACATAATGTTTGTAACACAGTAGCCTAAGTAGCAATTCTTTTCTAAAGATCTGTTCAGAATCAAGTTCAGGCTAGGACTAGTTCATGAAGTTGGAAGGAGTCTAGATAAGCCACACTGTGAACCAACCTGGCAGCTGTATATTTTTGCGCTTCCACTATAAACCTTTGGTGACTGACATTTGAAAGCCGGTTGTATGAAGATGAAATAAAGTGGAATCTATGTGGAGGGAAGTATTGTGATTATAATCAATGAATACTGTGTCACTGTCTTTCTCACATTAGCACCACTACTTTCTGACACTGTTATACAAGCATTCACTCTCTCAGTTATACACTGTATATTATTAAAATTAAAAAAAAAAATATTTTCTGAAACAAAAGAACCAAGGAAAGACACAAGTTAGGGAACAATTATAGATTTTATATGGCATAACATTAACAAATCTATATTCCTCCACACACATTCAATGAGTTACATGTAGGTCTGGATTCTGTGCTTTTGGTTACACCAAACACATGGAAGGTATTCTTCCACTTTGAATGATAGAATATGAACCAACATGTTGAATTACCAGAATCTTGTACCGGTAATGCAAAAGCAAGAGCAGTCCCTCGACGTACAGGTTAATATCTCCCTACAACAGAGGTTCTAACCATTGTCAATGGAACCTATACAGATTCTTTACAGTCAGAATTGCCTTTTAAATTTTATCACCACATAAAGGAGTGGTTTTTGGTAATGCCTGAAGGGCAGAGTACAGGCAAGTGTGTACATGAATCCTGTATGAAATATAACCTACCAGTATAGTGGATCTACATTCATCATCACAGACTTTGTGCTTTTCAAAATTTCATACTTGGCCAATTCTGTCCAATAAACAGGGAGATTCAATTATAAATAAATAACACAATGGATCCACAACTTCCTACATTTCTTTAATAAGTTCATGTACTCATGAATGTCCCTCTTTATCCATGCTGCAATGGCAAAAACTGTGCACCTTACCAAGTTAAAGTTTACATTAGTGTGACAACGACTTTCAAAAGTGACTGAGCTTTATGACTTAAGTTAATACTAGCAATTCTATGGCATGAGATAGTACCTTTACGCAGGAAGAGAAGGATAGAGGAAATACAAGATGAACAGAATATTAACACCATAACCATACTCTTCCGCATAGACCCCGAAGCAACATGTTCAGACCAGTATTATTATTATTACAGTGGGATTATTGCAACCTATCTCACTTCATCTTTTGCACAATGACTGCATTTAACAGGTTGGCCTCTGCTAGGGTCTGGCTCTCGTCGGTCAGTTCCTTGTTAGGAAACGTGGTCATCAGAACAAACGGAGTGACCGCCGTCTCCGGCCTGGCCGTGGCGATGAACTGCCTCACGTCGCTGACTCTGTTGGTGTGGTTAAACTTGGCGACTAGTCGCGACCCGTCGGCCAACCTGATCTGGATACTAGTGGTGGGCTCCGAGTCCTTCAGTCCCACGTTACTCTGTGCCGTGGCTTCATTAGTTTTCCTGTCACCGCTAGCTGCGGCCGCAGCGGGCGCACACACGACGTTGGGAGTCGGACTGCCCAGCTTGTGGCCCTCTCCTGAGAAGGCTTTGACGGCGACCTTGGGCGGGGCCCACTCCTCGTGACGATGGTCCTCCAGGTTCAAGGCTACCTCCAGTCCACGGCACATCCTAATCAGTTCCAGGGGAACTTCCCTGTTCATGATGGAAACAGCAAGTGTTCATGATTTTATCTTCATCTTTGACAAGTACAAAACTATGTCCTTAAAATGTAAAAGGAACAAGTAAAACAAAAATACATAATGTTTACCATCCCCAGTATTTCTCACGTCCACTTACCCTTTGTTGATGGAGTTGAGGAATTCCTGGTTGGCTGGATCGTCATACGCTCGTAGTTCTCCGTCGTCTACTGTGAACCCGTTCTTCCACATCCGTAAAGCAATTGTTTTCTGGGGAAAGAATGAACCAATGTTCACACTCACACACTCACTATCCTGGTTTAGATGTTGTCAAGAGGAAACATTGAATTTCATAACTTTGCCATTTCCAACACAACAAATTGTGGGGGAATCCCCGAATCCAAGACCTGGCTGGCAAGATGATACCGTAACTATGAACTAGCAGCCAGTTAAGAGTAAACAAACTAGAATCAAAATTCTAATAATTAAATAATGATAATAAACACTTCCCAAATGTGTGTACATGAGACCTATATGTTTGCTCTCAAGTTTTAAGAAAGGCTAAAACAAAGAATGTGATCAGGCCATATTTGTCTATCAATTCCTACCTCTTGACGTCGTGAAGCATCTCTTTCTCCCTGCACAACCTGAGTGTCCTCTTCTGTAGCTCCAAGTCTGTACCCAGTTCCTTTAAATGCCTGGCAACAAAAAAGAAGCTATTTAAGGACACTGTATTAAAGAATACAATGATATGTTTTCTTTCATTCAATCTCACTTGATATCTGGTTTAGTGTCTATGTACAAGTAATAAGGACACAGGCTTGAGCATTTCTTCAAATTCTTGAACATGCTTTAATCATTATCTATGCTATTATCAGTGGTTCCCCTTCATGTGTTTTAACATTTACCAAGGGTTTTGGCCGAGCAGCAGCCTCTTCTGGCTCCACTGTTTCAGCTCCGTGGTCTTTGGCTGACTGGAAAAGCTTGTCAACGACATCATCTGGGTTGGGATTGGACTTCTTCTTAGGTGGCCCTAAGATCTAGAGGTACAGAAAGGAATTTTAGAATCATTGCCTTAAAAATGATACAGTATATGTACAAAATGTAATTAGAACAATGTTTACAGAGATCTAGTTATAATAGTTGGATACATGTAATACAATGTATATGACTTGTGTGTGTGTGTGTACGTGTGCGCGTGCATGTGCGTGTGTGCACCCACCTGCTGCCCTCCCCCATGTTCTGACCCTCCTGCGTAATACGCCTGTCCTTCCTCCTCATCAGATTCAGACTCCTGCCTTCTGAAGGCAGCGACTGAGCCAAATCTGGAACTTCCTTGAGACCTAATGAGGAAAAATTCAGAAGAAAACCTTAGAAAAACTGCCTTTTTCAAAAGTTGAACTTGATAGCTGTTTTACCTTGTTTTACATGGTACCAGTACTGGTATGCCTTGCATCTGAAATATAAGTACTGCAAACATGTAACAAAGGTAGCAGAAGATTTTACCACAAAACAAAAGGACAGTGGTGTTCTATGTGCTATATACTGTATACAACATTTCTCCTGTGTTTGTCTACAATGGATTCTTTTTCTGTACACCTAGTTCCCGTAAATTTGTTAACCAATAAAACAGTTGGCTATATGTACACTATTACTAGTACAGTTTGTAACTTACTGTACTGTACTTAGTATCATTAAAGTCCAGGTCCGAACCTGAAAAGGCACACAGTCCTAACATGGACATAATATACTCAACTAACCTTCCACCCTTGGCACTGCCCCCAGGTTGGGTTGCTGAAGTGCCTGCAGCCTGGGGACTTGTTTCTTCCATGGCATCATCTCCTCCTGCATCATAGAAGTGGGCTATAGCAACCTAACCAAGCAGACAAACCAACAAACAGTCAGTAGTGTAGTTAAGTACTACATGGTATTACACCATCATACATGATGATCAAATACTAGTACACTCATGTTCTAGATAACCCTGATTTCAGTCATGTCTCAAGACCAATAATTTCTTGGCTCTTAGTATAGGTAACACTAGCAATACATGGGAGATTGAATAAAATGAGAAATGAGACACTTCATAAAGATTGATCAAGACAGAGAGGAATGTATACAACGTATAATAGAATACAAAAGGTGACAAAGAGAACAGATGATACTAGTACTGAACTCCATTGAAAAGTACCTGTCTAGCCATGTCTTACACTTGGATACTAGTAGTATCTGTTGATTCTAGTTCTAGATTCAGTACAATATCATCTGCTTTCTTTGTCACCTTTGATATCTTGTCTCACATATTAAACAGTATATCTTATCCAGTTTTACAGATCCATTTCCACCAACAGCTGTTCTAACTGTGATATCTCTTGATGACTAGGTAGGATAAGGGTTGGTAGAAGGAGAAACACCTGTAAATCCCACTGTGCCGACTCCAGGAAGAACTTGGCTCGACCCTGGTCAACTCCAGTTACTGCAACAAACTGGGATTGAAGCTCATCCTACAACAAAATAAAAGCACAACAGTGAGATGGGTATGTGACTACTACTAGTATTTTCTGCTGACATAGAAATTTTCAATGTACATGCATAATAGATGACAAAATGTCATAAAAAATTCATCAAATATAAGCAACAAGTAAACCTCTAAATTTGGAGAATGAAAAGGCAAAGTAACGAAAAAATGAATATTAAAAATGAGTACCAAAGAAACATGTTCAATGTTTTCTCTTGCCGTCTAGTGCAATGCTAAAATACTTGTCGGTCGAAAAATATTTTTCTCATAATTTATCTTGATAGTGGGGCTTGGTAAACTTGCCAACTCATGGTTTCAGTTGGGGAGGGGGGTAAACGCATGACCCAAGAAAAACTAGAAGGAAAATAATAAAAATTGTACAATTTTGTCATGTTGATTTCCTTTTAGTATTCTCTCCTTATAACGATTTTTGACCGATAACAGCTTACATGCGTCACTTTCTACCAGATATAGAAAAATCGATGGATCGAAAAGGAAACCGAAATCGTGCCACACATATGCTCCACAGCAAACCTGCGAAGACCGGCGTTGCCTTTTCCTTACAATCTGAGGCACTATAGAGTGATTAAGAAAGTGTGTGACAACGTGAGATGCTCTGCCACCTAAACAAAGACTTGCGACGAAAATCTGACGGGCAAAAAATCTGAAAAACGTTGGCAAATAAAAGCAAAATTCTTTACCTTGTCCGCCATGATTGTTCCTCAGTTTTACCAAGGATGCCGGGTAATTTATGGCACAGTCTACATTCATACAGATTTTAGGGGTGATACACTTACAGAAATTTATCGAAAGAAATTTTGCAAAAACGCTATAAGATAGCTTCCTCAATCATAAAATTATCTAAATAGATAAATACAGAAAATAATCATTGATAAGAATTGTACCATTCTCTGTTTGAATTGCTCTGACAAGAGGGCAATGCCATTTATGCACGCCCCTTCCTTGCAGTGAAATGGTCTGTAAAGTTTTGAAGTTACCAGGGGGAAGTTTAGACGTTCTTGTTGCAGCTGACCATGACTTGTGTGACGTCTGACGAGCTTCAGTTACGTTTCCACTGCAGCTGATCGTAACAGACGTCCCCTACACAGACTGCAGATGCTCTGCCCAAGATCGTGACCGAAGAAGGAGCTTGAAAACGGTTGGAAAGCTCGCTCATCATGTAGTAGTACTGTACGTATAACGTTACTAGTTGGGAGAGTTAAGTTGGCATTCGGAATAAGGGCTTTGTTGTGTGAAGTCTGTATAGCGTCAATTTTTTTGGTCAAATCTAACTTGTTCGTTTGTGCTCGATATAACTTTGTGACATGATCAGGGGTGGTATTGTTGCATTTGAACGTTACATATAATTGTTTTCCTGTGAATAATTTGAAGGGGTCACAGGTCATGCTACATAACTAACGTTAGTTACTAATAATGTCCTTGATTATAGGTGTTTTCTAAAAGATTTTGACCACACCCATTCACACAATGGTAACAACAGCTGTCAAGAACATGTTTATCCTGATTCGCTCCCAGATTGGCTTCAGATGAATAGTTTAGCACCGGTTACTACCGATAGTAAAAAATATTTACCCAATTTAGGTCTGATTGGCTAGGAAAAAAATGTTGTTGTGTTTTCTGTTTCCTGACTGATGCTAGAAAAAACTGTTGACCCCAGCAAGGGACATTTTTCAAGCTGATGGACCATAGGCTTAGCTCTATGATCTGACACCTGAGTAATGAAATGTTGTACAATCGGATTTCCAACATCAACATTGAAAATATAAGTGTCCTCATGCATTTGGATCTCTAAGAGATTGCCAAAGTTTATTGAAAAAAAAAAGAAAAAAAATTATCCCTACCTATAGCTACCTAGCTACCTACCGACCCTAATTTTTCCGGACTGAAACAGGAAACAACAATTTTTTTCCAATAGGCCCTAGCTACATCATTTCAGGCATCAAACGTAACAATCTTATGAATTTCTACTTGAACCACCTGGTTAGTAAGGAAGAGCAGGATGGCCAGTCACCTGAGCAGACATCTAGTGGAGAGTAAGACCTCCGAGCTGAAGATCGTGCCTGTGAGCTGGAACGTGGACGTGACAAAAGGACCTCACCTGCAGCTGGAGCTGAAGATGTGCCAGCTGAAGGATCTCACATGGGACTTCCAGTGGGGGGAAGGAAGGTAAGGAGAATGGCTCAGTGATAGAATTTTTAGAAGTACCAGTATGAAGAATTTTCATTACCATTTACTGTACGTGATGCTGCCCCGCGATGTTTGCATTTCATTGAGTAATAACTCAAGTGTTTTTGGACATTTAAAGATCTTCTGACCATCAAATATCTACAGCCAAAAGAAGAAAATACCCAAAAACTGCTTCAAGTTCAAGGTGAAACTGATACACAAACTCAAAAATACTGTATACACTTGAATTAATAATAAAGTCCATTGAAATGCCAATAGGGATACCAACATGACAGTGGCGATTAATTCCCACCAAGGACATATATTCCTGGTTCTCACCATGGGAATAGTAAGTAATGCATGTGCAATGCAAGTTACAATCGTACAGCAACAGGTGACCTCTAGCAGTCACTGTTTGAAGTGCACCTGGAAGGAATTGCTTGTACCAAGCTGCAGCAACTTGCCAAATGCTGACCTTTCCCCTTCTTCCAAACCTTAATCATCAGGTTTCCTCATGTCTTTACCAGAGAGATGCTGCATCTTTTTATTTATTTCCTTCTACCTTTCTTTTAGCTGTACAAAAGGTTCCCAGAGTGTGACATTCTTCTGGTGAAAGTAACAGAGAAATAGATAGGTAAACAAACTCTATACTACCCTCTCTCTGTCTCTCCTTCTTCCCTCTTAATCATTTCTTAAACATTACATTCCTAGAAACTTGAAAGTATTGATTGATTGAATTCCAAAGGGTAGGCATTGTAACGTTACATTGTATCCAAAAAGATAAGTAGTTTGACCATATCTCTTAAGTTATAAATACAAAGAATATTTGCTTGATTGCAGCACATACTCAATAGACTGTGTAATGGTGAATAACGTACATGTATATTGTAATAACATTCTATTATGCAGCATATGTATACAGAAATTGATTAACCAGCCATCCTGACTCTCTTACAGAACTACAAGTCCTTCCAGCCCCACACCTGTAAGCATTGTGGACCAACCAACCAGGTAATTATAATGAACATGACCAACATCAAGATTTTATGTGCTATTTTATACATCTTTTTTGCAATATATTTTACAGAAACTTGAGTGAATGTTGAATGCATATATGTTGTTTTAGGTGTTTGAAAGTTGATGTGTCCCTGAATGAACTTCAGTCCCTGCATCACAAGGAGCTGTTACCCTTCAGTAGACTGTACTGCCTGGATGCTTCTCTCAACAGGATTACAACGTGAGTATAGAACTGAGTCTGCTACATCCCTCTTTATCCAGGGCTCATTCATCTTTGGGAATTTCATTTTTGGGAATAGATAGGTGCACTTGTGTTCCCAACCTACAAAATTGCGTGCAAAATTTTTAGTAACTGTTATAGTGTTCACCCCAGGAACAGTGGCATTTTATGTTCCTGTCAACAGACAGTTCATGTTATCCAAAAACATGTTTTTTTAGTTTGCAACTGAGAAAAGGATTTTGATGATAATACATTGCTCATATGATGACCAAATCAGCACCAAGGACAGTATTAACAGTAAATTTCTTCTTTGGTTATATGATGAATTTTTGATCTTCTAGCCCTCTCAACTAGCCACCGCACAAAAATATTGTTACTTTCAATCTTTTTGTTTGTTTGTATTTCTAGTGTAAGATTTGTTTCAGATATTATATATTTACCAAAAAAAGTTCCAGTAAAAGAATCATCTCTTTGCTCTGCAGTTTCAAGGGAGTGGAAGCCCTCCCAAACCTGGTTACACTCAACCTGTCTCATAACAGCATCAAAGTTGTGGATGGACTGGAACACAGTCAACATCTGCAAGAACTGGTGTGTTTGTTTCTGCTTTTTGTTTGTTTATTTCTGTTTATTTGTCTACTCATTTGTTTTTCCTTCATCTAAGGTACTGAAATTTATGACAGAAAGTACACTGATTATTTTTTATGATAGCATACACATGCATATTCACAGTTGTACCCACCCTAGTTTTCGTGACCTTTTCGTCCATCACTAAGTTTTTCAAGTGAAACATTGTGCATAATGTTATAGGATTGGGATAACAGTGCCTTGTTGCTATGTCATTAACCCTGTCTATTGTTATGTAATATGTGAAACCTGTAAATCTATTACATGTAGTACGTCAAGAACACTTATTCATTTGAATACTGTAAATCACTGTATTCTTAGCAATAGTTTGAGAAACATGCACTATATATTTGCGGTGGTGGTAGGTGCAGAAGAAAGAAAGTCGGCAAATTATTTGTTCGCGGTTACCGTAATAACAAATCTGCAGTATAGAAATGGCCGTGAAAACTGTAAATATAAAAGTCCAGGGAAAATGATTTACAGTACTAAAAATAGTTAAAGCTGTTTCTTTTGTTCTGTCTGTGTGAGATATTGAATTCTAGGATTGATGTAATTATGGTACAGAGATGGTTTGTTTAACCAGGTGTTTCCCACCCGCAGCACCTGGAAATGAATGCCATTACTGACATCAGTAACATGCCGATCCTGTACAACCTCACTATCCTACGTCTCAACAGTAACCAGGTAACATTGCTTTACTCTTCACAAACGTTAATAAGGTTACAACAGTACTCCAGAGACTTTTCATTTGCAAAAGATTTATAGTCAGTGGTAATTATTAAGTTTTTTTTCTTAGATTGTAGTTGCTATGTTTAGTTGCAATAGATTTTAGTTGATATATTATAATAAAGTTGATTTTCTGTGAAAATGTGTTTTGGGAGAATAAAGCTTGGTCTTTTTTCCTATTGTAATTACGATTTGTTAGGATTAGATTATCACACTGTGCTAACAACAGTAACAAGAACATTTTTGCATGTAGTAAATGTTAGAGTTTATGATTTGACACAGTGTCTAATATGTGAAATCAAATATTGTTAATGAACGTTCAACATTCAACAGGTAATGTTTTTGTAGTTCCTGAGCCTATTTGTGTGAAATTTTGTGCATAGTTTGAACATACAATCATACAGTAAAAGTTGTATAGCACAAAATTTGAAGAAGAATAAAAGATGCATTTTGTCTCCTTGCCACAGCTTACATCCTTAGAGGGTATCCAGTCCCTTTCAAGACTGAAGGAGCTTCATGTGCAAAAGAACCACTTAGTAAGTCAGTCTATTATTCTTTTAGCACTTATCATAATTACCCCTGAGACACTTGCTCTTACACAAGTTTGTATCTATGATATATCTAGACTAGTACTACTGTACTAGGTACATAGGTCAGGGGAAGTCTTAAGTGAACAACCCTCATGCTCGCTGCTGCTAGGATCTAATGTAAATCACTTATTGTTCGAAGTAACAAAATTTCGCGGTCTGAGAAAAATGGACATGTTCTCGGATTCCAAACTAGATGTTGGCGGTGGTGGCAGGTGCAGGAAAATGAAAGTTGGCAATTTATTTGTTCAGTCATGTTAATGATAATTTCACAGGAGTGATATGACTGTGAAAACCATGTCATTAAATATAAAAGTACTACGAAAGAATTGTGATTTACAGTTACTGAACATGTACATTGTATCTCAAACTGACAGAAAGCATACAAAAACTTTGTGTTGGTACTTTTTCAATGATGTATGAAAGTTTATACATTTTCCTAAGAACATTGCAGCATTATGTTGTGTTGTGTTACAGACAGACTTGTTTCCCCTGGTGAGCAGTCTGGGACTGGTGGTGCTGAACGCTGCTGATAACCACCTACAGTCTCTGTCAGACACCGTGGACGTGCTCAAGGGACTCAAGAGACTACATGAACTCTACCTCATGGTATGGAAAAACTGTTACATACCCATTATATCATCCTGTTTGGGTATATAAGGATGATATCCCATGCATAGTTTCATATAGTTTTGCTATTTATCCTAAGTTATCTTGACTTAGTTTCACAATTGGTTTAAAACTTAGAATTTCTATTTATTCATGAGACAGTGTCTTTTTTTAGTAAGCTTCTGTCTCATTGTGATCATAATCTTATATTTTTTTTAATTGTTACTTTATGTCAGGATCTTCCACCTGGAGTCTTTAAAAAGTGCCACTCCTGGTGAAATAGATAAATGAAATCAAAATCTAATTACTAGACAAGTAGCATCCTTTTTTTTCTATTCCAACATCTAATTAGAAGACGCGGTGGCGTCACACTCAAGTTTTTTCAACTTGCTTTTATGCCGCCATAGACACAGAGGACAAGACAATACTCATTTTTGCCTGAGTAAAGTGAAGAAAGTCACGTTAAGTGCCTTTCCCAAGGGCACAAGATCAGTGGCGTGGTAGGGTTCGAACCCCAGACCTCTTGGTTCTGAGGCAAACACTCTACCATTATGCCACACAACCTCACACTAATTTCTTTGTAATTTTTCATTTGTGGTTGTTCCAGGGCAATCCCCTTCAGAAGGAGAACAGGTACAGCGCTGCGTTGACTACCTCCACATCAGTGGTCATGCTGGATGGACACAGCATCAGCAGTGCTGCAGCAAAACCTACAGTAGCTCAGGTACATTGTGTGCCATCATCTTTTTATCTCATTCTGTCTAAAAATGAAATCAGTTGTGGGCAAAATCAGTGTACAGAACATAAATGAGTATATTGGGACCAAACTCCTCAAAAGCAGGATTAATACCCATTGAGCCACAGCATGCCACTTGTACACCCAGTGTTGAACCCTGTCTTTCCAGGCAATACAGCCCCTGCTGCTACCATCAGGGGACCGACCACAGGCTCTCGCTGACCTCAAGTCTGCAGCAAGGAAAATCTTCTACGAGCAGATCGAGAGACAGAAAATGAGAATGGACGAAAATGTGCATTACTTACAGCAGAAGATACAGTAAGAAATTGTGAAATATTGAAAATTATGAAATATGTTGCTTCAACTCAGCTTCTAAAGAGTAGCCATTGATTGATTTTGATATTTGTCTAAGTGTTTATATGAAGCAAAATTTTTCATATTGTATTCTAAATTTCTTTAAACTGCTTTTCACCAGTGATGTCCAGGAAGAGTTCAGACAGTACGAGGCCAAAACACTTGCTGATCTTGACTCTTGTCTAAGGTAAGTCTGTCTGTGATTAAGTAACTTCCCCTTCAGCTTATCCAAAGACTTTGCAACTGAGAAATTGCTTGTGCTGATGATAAATTGCTCATATAAAGACCAAATCAGCACCAAGGACAGCATTGAAAAATTTCCTCTTTGGTCGTATTTGATCTTTGGACCATCTCAAATATGTGGCAGATAAAACACAAAAATGTTATGTAGTACACTTAATGAGCTACTATCCTTTGAAATTTAAAACAGTGTCTTGAAAATGGTAATCAGCACTTGCCTGCTACTTCAGTATCTTCATAATCCCTTAAAAAGTATGTGATGAAATAGCTGGGATGTATGAAGTTCTCCCAGTACTGAGTTGTACAGTGTGTCTGCAGGTACATGGACCACCTGTCCCTGGAGGACATGTCTGGTGCCACACAGAACATGCTCAGGGACATGATGGCCAGGCCTGGGCCGGGGCCATGGACGGAGGTAAAAACAATTACTCTAAAAAGTCAAAACATTTAACAGTACTGTTGTACAGTATGAAAAGAATGCATTTTATGATGGTGAAAACGATTTACATTATTGTCTGTCTAAACATAATGTTATGCTAAGAAAAAAAAAAGAACAACAGAACCCCAAGAGTTGGGTTTTGTAGAGCAGTACTCAACATTGACTAAATTTGCAGTAAATTGACTAGAAGAAAATGTTAATTCCTTGTGTCCATGTATACTTGATTATGACAAGTACAAATGCATTTAAGGTATTATTACCTTTGGAATTTGTTGTTGTTGTTGTTAGCAAAATGTGCATATTTTACATACTCTCAGTAATGTTGATGTACCATTTTATGTACATGTACATAGCCCCCCAAGACTGGACCAGACAAAGCAGCATCAAGACAAAGTACGAGAGATAAAACAAAGCCAAAGAGCCAGTACAAGGGAGTGACTGAACCTGACGAGGTGGGTTATTTGTCTTTTGTGTCGGATTTTAAAAATGTCACAGACAACAAAAAATGATACTGATTGTAATCTGTTATAGCAAGCAAATAACTGTATCTATCAGAAAAACTCACCAGTGGTCTCCATGCCCTAGACACAGTGCATTAAAAACTCACTACCCCTACACAGCATCAAAAAGGCTATGGGACCATTACCTTTACCATAAGATTGCACTTTTGATTTCTATTCAAGAATTCTGTGTAATCTGTGTCTATTTTTTATTCTAAATTTTAGGTCCTGAAGGCTGCAGCAGAACTTCTGTCCAAGTCGAGACAAGAGGATAGAGACAGCCTCAATTCTGACTCATTATCCTGATGGAATACATTCTAATGTATATAATACAATAATTTTCACATTTTCAGTCAATCAATGCAACACTAACTTGGAACTTTTTTATGGATTTGAAATTAGATGTTGTACAGTCAAAATGTACAGTCACAAACAAAGACCACTCAGGGGACAGAACAAATCTGGTCCATGTAGGCAAGTGGTCACTATAGACAGGAGTCACAATGCTTATGTCAATGGAAAAAACATGTCATCACATTTTCCTAATGGTCCTTATGAAGAAATGGTCACTTGTACAGGTTTTACTTTATATATCAACTATTTTTACAGATTCTGAAGATTTTGCTATTCTTTCAAGAATGTTGCGCAACACTGTTGTTTAGAGTCAAAACAGCATTTCACTATAACGTTAGATTGTTGCCAACCACATACCAAAGTAGATGAATTCCCATAACACCATGTAAATATTGCACTGTTTAACATTATTATTGTAAAAGCATTTAGCTTTTGAGCATGATTTTGCAAATAAAGAATTTATTATAGTAAGGATGAATTATTTCAGTACAGGTTTATTCAATTACAAAACAAGAGGTCCACAACCTCATATCTTTGCCAAATGATGTTCACTGTTCCGAATGATGAAATTATACCTTTCTCACATTGTTCAGTATGAAATTTTCAATCATGGATTATATCAGTTGATCATATTCCTCACACAATGACAGCCCTATCTAAGCAAAGAAGGCTATTCTGCACTTCCTCATAAACTATGTAAATGAGGCCATGATTTGAATAAATTATGTTTATTGATGTTTGCCATTACTATATTGCAAATACAGCAAATATGAAATTTTCAGCAGTTACCACTATGAAGTTATAGCAATTTTCAATAATTATGCAATGTAGGTACTCAATACCTAATCTATATCTGCCAATGTTTCAATGTCACAAGTGTTCCATAGTCCTATTGTGGAGCACAGCAGAATTTCCTCTTCAATTATGCTAATTAGCTCCCGAATACTAGTAGCTAATCACTTAAGCTACCTATGTACTAAAATCATGACAATCCTTCAACCAGTAGCAAATCTGACAGTTTGTGACACTTGGTATTGAAATCGCAATGGATAAAGAACGCCCCACAGCGACCAAAAAAAAAGATCACTCGAAACTCGTCCAATTTTATTGCTATTAATTCTCAATTTAGGGAAATGTGCAGCAAAACTGACCATTTGAGACACTCTGAAGCCTGAACCGTTAGAATCGCGCGCGGATGCCATCCATAGAATTAAGGCGGTATGGCCTTACTTAAATGTAACGTTAGGGCCTTGAGTTCTTGCGGATTAACTATGCACTGCAGAGCTCGGAATGGTACACTCTCATGGAAAAGTGTACTAGTAATAATCTATAGCGTCAACAAAGCGTTATTGTACGTCATAGACACCTTTATTACGTCCGGTGACGTCATTAAGATAAAATGTCATTGAAACGTCACCAGTCACGTCGCGTCTTGTGTACTTCTTTGTGACGTCATAATCCCATTGTACTTGCAGTTCTGGAAATTTCCTCGGCTATCAGACGTGTTTTTAGGACCGTTCTGTATGAGGTGTTTTTTCCAGAGTTACGGTGACTTTCGTATTGTGACAAATCATGATCAGCTTCGTAATTATTTCGAGTCTTTTCCTGTTCGGCCTCGCCACCAGGATTTTGGGATCCATCAAGAAAGGTAAGAGCAAGTTTTCACGTCACTTCAGAGCAGTTTCTGTCCGCCGCGTTCGAACAACAGAACTAGGTTCGGCGACGTTCTGAGAATCGATCTGTGACCGTTTCTGATCGAATTTCTGTTTTTCTCACAGCGTTGAACGCCGCCATCGGAGTCGACAGATGTGAAGTGCAGATTCCTCTGTTTGAGGAACCACCCTGCGTCGACGTCCCTGCACAGGAGGCTGTGAAGAAAAAAACACAGCGCAGTGACTTGAACGGGCCTATAGCTACCGACCATGCGCCGGATACGAAGCCTGCAAAGCCCGTCGAACCCAGCACCTCTGTGCGGGCTCCCGGTACAGCCAACGGCAAGCCGAAGGGGACATTCGGCGGAATGAAAGCCGGCTTCTTGCTTCAGTCCCCGAAGAAACCTCAACCCAAGAAGGAGACCGCGGCTAAGGCAGACACCACCAAGGGCGGAGAGCAGGCTCCCACTGACCAAGTCGGTCAGGTGAAAGTCAGTACCTCTCACCAGAAGCAGGCATCTCCGGCTCCACGCCCTGCTCCTCAGCAGAAGTCTACCCACCAGAAGCCGCAGGCCGCTGCACGCCCTGCCCCTGAGGCCTCAGTCCGCCAGGCTGATGAGGAGCCACCCCGCCCCACTGTCCCCATCTTCCCAGCCCTTGCTCAAGTTCGACCCATCCTGCTGCCGGTTCTAGGCACGAACCAAGTCCAGTTGGTCTGGGACGGGAGCGTCAAGGCTAGAAACCTCCTTCAGATGATCGTGGCGGCCAGGAGGGAAGCCGAGGGACTCTAAACTTCCCAGGACTTGAATGCATTGTAATCTGATATTTGATGTGGATGTGGAGTGAGTGAATGATGGAAGGAATGGATGAGTGGACGGGATGTGAGTGAGTGATTGAGTGAGTGAGTAAGCGAGTGAGTGAGCGAAGGAAGGAAGGAATGAGTGAATGAATGAGTGGATGTGAGTGAATGAAGCTTAAGGAAGAATGAACGAATGGGTGAATGAATGAATGAATGAGTGAGATTGGCGAGTGAAGGGACGAAGAATCAATGAATGAGTGGATGAATGAGTGGCTGTGAGTGAATGAAGGAAAAATGAACGAATGGGTGAATGAATGAATGAGATAATGGCGAGTGAAGGAAGGAAGAATGAATGAGCGAACGAACGAATAAATGGATGAAATGGGATGTAGACAATAAGAATACAAAACTGATATGCATTCTCTGAATAATGGGATGGGTATAGACGACGTCTTTCCTTTTATCTCACATTTATGGTTCTTTACGTCACACAAAACATTGCTTATTTGGGGGGGGGGGGATTAGGGGGATTCAAGTTACGAAGGAATAAAAGTTGAAACTATTTGAATTGCGAGTCCCTGTTGTCTTCAGTTCTTCAACCTTATTCTACAAATGCTGTGATTCACGCATTATTTTATGCTTTACTTGACTATCATATCTATTAACGTTTGCTGCTGAACGAAAAAGGTTCTGTGGTATTTTACAACAAACCCGGTTGGTTATACGGGTTCATTTTACAACTTATATTTCTTTTTTCTGTATTGTTCCATTCATTCATTCATTCATTCAATTTATCGTCATACAGCTGTTTCCCTGACCTTGTTTTGTTCAGAATAAAGTAACCAGTTTCCCATGTTACGTAATATTTTGTACCAGAGTTGTGGATAGTGTGAATGGAGTACTACAAGCTATATATATTGGACCTTTTTTCTGTACTTGTGCATGCCGAAAGTTATAATGAATTGTTGTTGGTACGTAGATATATAAAGCTTACCCATATGACATCTTGCACACGCAGTCATCTCTCAGTAAAACATATTGATCTCCCTATTCAAATTTTATTGTCTTCGTCAGAAGGACTATGAAATTGTCTCGCCGGAGTGTGGGGAACTGCGGATTTTGCGATATAACTCTGGAAGGCATAATTCGACGTCCATGATTTTTGGCAGGCAGATTACCGCTGTTAAGGCCGAAGTCAAGTACAAGTTTTGGCTTCGTGGGGGGTCCGTGCGTCACGTTAGTGCACCTTTTGTGTTTGTGGCTTGTTAGCAAGATAACTCAAGTATTTGTAAAATGTTGATTATAATTCTTGGTGTGGTGCTTACTATTGTCGGGACCAAGGTTAAGTTCGTTACTGAGCTTCGTGGGGGCTTTCGTTGTGACTACAGGGGGCATTTTGTTAATTTTTCTTGTGAGCAGGATAAATTTTGTATGTGTGGATGGAAGTTAATGAAATTTGATAGGCATATTACTGTCGTGGTCTCCAAGATTGAGTTCAAAGATGAGAGTCGTGGAGGTCGTTATGTCCCCGTAATAGGACCTTTTGTGTTTAGAAATCCCCCACCTACATCTGCTTGGAGACAGCCGACAGCTGGATATAGTGGGGAACCCCATAATGGGATGGGATCAAATGACGTTACATTGAGGGATTGTACTATAACTTCAGCAGGGGGAGGATAGGTTGGACATATGTCAGGTTATTTTCTACGGCCACACCAAGTAATTGCTATGGATGACGTCCACTAGAGACCTTAAATCTAATTACCTTAAATTTAAGGCAAGCGCAATAAAAACACGAAGGGCCGAAAAACGAGATGCCTAGATTTGGAATATACTAACTGTAGAAGTACAAATGTTAGGACACAAAGAACACAAGAAACAAGTCTTCTATTTTTCATGAAGACAAATTAACAAAACAGCAGTAGTCACCCTGTTCTGATTCTTTCCTTTATAACATCTTCTCTTATTATATTTTGCGGTGCTGTCGTGACACTTTCAACACAGTAAGAATTTCTTGAACGTTTTTTTTCCAGTAACAGTCCAAACTCAAATAACGTAGGGGGGGGGGACTAACACGGGTGACGACGCATCTGTATAATCTGCGGCAAACCGTTTCAGGGTGTTCTGTACCATAAAAATAGTACAGAGATTCTTTTGTTCTTTAGACCAAATTGATTATTAAAAAGATTGAAGAATACGCATGTTAATTTCTCTAGAACGATGTACCTCTGACGAAGACATGAGATCTCCGACCTCTAGTTCATGATTGTTCTGCGCAGCTTTCCTTCTGTTAACGGTGCATACCCCAGTTCTTCCGCGACCGGGGCACGATAGTCCGTTGAAAAAAAAAAGTGACGAAGGGGTTTTGAGGGCCCAAGTTTGATGTGACATTTCTCATAAACTGGCACGAAGTATCATTAAACATTAACATGGCTGAAGAGTGTAAGAAATGGTGATTTTGGGGTGAAAAATTCTTTTGGCTCCGAACCTTACTTCCGGGTATCCTTGCGCGCCAAGTGTAATCCGCCCGTTTGACCTAGATTTCGCTCTGCGCCTTCCTAGTAGCGGATTTGCAACCCCTCGCGCCGTGGACGATTTAAAAAATTACAGTACTATGGGATTATCCTACGCGAAAATTCGCAATTTTGGGCATTAATTTTGGAGTGAAAATAATGTTTTTTCCGTTGATTTTACCAAAATTAAAAAGGTTGAAGAAACCAAACTCAGCTGGTCTTGTAGCTGAAGAGATATCCTTTCGTCCCATATACAGTTATTCTCCTTCCGAATTATTCCACGCCAGACACGGTCGCTAGATTTGAGGGTGTGCAGCTTCGAATAGAGACGCCAAATAAACTGGAGTGTGCCCCCTTAAGTTTAATTTTGAAATAATAAGAAAATGTTCCATTTTTCGCAAGGCAAAGCAGCTGCAGAATAACGAGAAAGGCAAAGGGTACGGCTCTCACTGCAGTTTCTATTTACGATCGACTAGAGTTGATAAATGGTAATAAAAGTACATCTCATCTAGAAGCGTCCTACAATACACGGCAAGTTCTGTTCACAAGAAAGCTCAAGTAATCCGTTCCGGTTTTCCGCCATGTTGAGGCACAGGGTCGGACAATTTTGCAGAGCTTGACTGGGCCGGCGACAGAAGACCCGGTAGAGATGCGCGGAATATTCATGTAGAGTGCACTGCTTCCAAATATCCTCACACAGAACGCAGTACGGTTGGCAATAAAAACCACGACAAGTCTTTGATGGTTCGGGACGTATTTGCTTGTACTGCTGAATTCTGAAACTTGTGTCCCTAAGTAACGTTAAATAACAATTACCCCATACTTTCATCCATGTACAAAATGCCGAATCCATGTGAAAGCCGGCATTCCAGGCAGTTTCACCCTAACCCTAACCCTAACCCCCCTCAGAACCCTAACCCTAACACCTACCCAAAACAGGGAGACCCTGGTATCATTGGAAAGCCCTTCCGCTCAGAAGTTCAAAACTGCAAACCAAATGTCGATATTGTTTGTCGTTGCCGAGATATTGCTATTTAAAGTTAACCCTAACCCTAACCCCCCTCAGAACCCTAACCCTAACACCTACCCAAAACAGGGAGACCTTGGTATCATTGGAAAGCCCTTCCGCTCAGAAGTTCAAAACTGCAAACCAAATGTCGATATTGTTTGTCGTTGCCGAGATATTGCTATTTAAAGTTAACCCTAACCCTAACCTGCTCGTAACGTACACTTTGAAATCGCCTTCTACGGAAGTGACCTGAACTGCAGCCGACTCACCCGGAAAGCCAATTGCGTAGTACGGCGCATTCATACACGAACTGCAAAACCTTCAGAATTC